GCGAATCAGTGGTTGGTACAGCACAACAGGCAGGAAAAAAAATTATATATATATGTATGTGTGTGTGTGTGTGTGTGTGTCTAATTACGTTAAAAATTCGAATCCTGGGTGATGCCATGTAGTAAAAACAAATAAATACGAACACCAAGATAATACCAAAGTAGGATTTTTTTATTAAAAATGCTGAGCTTTCGTCGGCCAGCACTGCCGACATCATCAGAGCATAGTAACAAGTCAATGGGAGATCCCTTTTTATATATATTTGTGTGTGTGTGTGTGTGTGTGTGTGTACTGCAAGAACTCCCTTGCTCCCTCCCCCAACTGACAGCAGACACTTATTGTATCTGCCTGCTTGGAAAGGGAAGGGGGAAAAAAAGGGAAGGAAGGAAGGAAGGAAGGAAGGGAGGGAGGGAGGGAGGAAGGGAAGGGAAGGAGGGAAGGGAAGGGAAGGGAAGGGAAGGGAAGGGAAGGGAAGGGAAGGGAAGGGAAGGGGAGGAAGGAAGATTTCTAATGTGCCCTGCCAACTTCCCATAAGCAAACTCACTGTGGAACTAGCAGGGAGTTGGAAGTTGCTCCCACTCCCACCTTTTTGCCCACCTGTGGTCATTTCTCTGTTTAGGTAAGGAAACTATCTCTGAAAAGGTGACTTAACTGGTCACCGATTGTCTTATATCGAGGGCTGCCTGTATTCTACTGGGAAATAGCCTAGCATAAATATTCCCCAATCCCCACATCTAATTAAGGTGACCAACTTTTTTACAATGAGAAGGAGGACACAAATACATTGAAGAAAAAAAAGTGAGTCTAATGCGTGCACGTGTGCCGTGTTTCGGTAAGAAGTAAACGAAGCCACTTGCGCGCGGCGCACTCTCTCAAAACAATTCTCCTGTGCGGAGCGCATGCGTCTCATAATCGCGTCTCGCCGCACTGTACCGAGCCTTGGCGAATCGTCATGTCAGATACAAATACGTCACATCACACGCAACGGATCGGATCGGCATCGATCGAATACGGAGATTTACAGATTTTAGTCTTCAAATATTGAAAAGGAGGACATGTAGGAGGACACTTTTCGAGAGAGGACAGAACTTACAAAAGGAGGACTGTCCTCCCTAAAGGAGGACGGTTGGTCACCTTAATCTAATGAGTAATTGCTATTTAGATTTAGAAGCTGCTTTTCCTTCAGGAGTACCAAAGTTTTTTCCTATACGGTTAGTCAGATGAACTCTTCCCCCATGCACGGCCAACACCTTGACTCAGCCCCACATTCTCCTTTTTCAGCAAGAAACTTTCATATATTTTTTAACCGTCTCCTTCCCATCAGACATGTTTCATTACTCCTTTTCTCCAAGGAAGCTTTGCCAGGGATCTCTTTCCTTGAAAACACACCACACCCATTGAAACCTAAAACCTGCTGAGCAAGTTACCTATCCAGGTTAACCACCCAAAGGACAGGATTCAACCAACCCCAGCAACCCACTGGCCAAAATTGCTTCGGGAGAAGCTTCTTACAAAGGGAGGGAGAGGCAACCTCAAAACCACAGGCAGACCAGCCAGCTCCTGTGCTCTAGAATGGTTTTTGGAAAAGCAATCTGAAGGGCAGGAAAAATTCAGAATTTCATCTGCCAAGTTTTTAGCACCCTCTGGCGGATAAAGACAAACAGCCTCCATCTCACCAACCTTGGCTGGATTCAGTCACTCTGTGAGTTTTTCAAGGCACAATTCCCAGGAGGCTAATCCTGGTTAGTGAATTAAGCCATTTTCTGGATGTTTCTGGTGTAAGGTAGTTTTTTCTTTCTTTCTTTCTTTCTTTCTTTCTCTTTCTTTCTTTCTTTCTTTCTTTCTTTCTTTCTTTCTTTCTTTCTTTCTTTCCTTTCTTTCTTTCCTTTCTCTTTCTCTTTCTCTTTTTCATTTTTCTATCATTTGTTCTTTCTTTTTCTCTCCTTTTCTTTCTGTCTCTTTCATTTTATTTCTGTCTTATCTCCTTTCTTTCCTTCTTTCTTTTCTTTCTGTCTCTGTCTCATTTTTATATCTTTCATTCTTTCCTTTTCTCTTTTTTTTTCTGTCTGTCATCTTATTTCTCTTCTTTCTTTCTTTCTTTCTTTCTTTCTTTCTTTCTTTCTTTCTTTCTTTCTTTCTTTCTTTCTTTCTTTCTCTTTTCTTTCCTGTCTCATTTTTATATTTTTCATTCTTTCTTTTTCTTTTCTCTTTTTCTTTCTTTTCTTTCTGTCATTTTATTTCTTTTATCTCCTTTCTTTCTTTCTTTCTTTTTCTTTCTTTTTTCCCCTTCCTTCCTTCCTTCCTTCCTTCCTTCGTTCCTTCCTTTCTCTGTCTTCCTGTATCTCATTTTTCTTTTTATCCTGTCTGTCTGTCTGTCTGTCTGTCTGTCTGTCTGTCTCATATTCTCCACTGGGTATAATATGCCTTAATCCAAATGGGAAGAACTTGCTGGCTACATATAGAGATATTTTTGCCTAATGGGAAGACCAAAGGAGCTTGAGTTTCTTTGCCTATTTAAAGCCATAGCTTCGAGCAGGACAAAAAAAAAATGCTGAGTCCGCAGCCCAGAGACAAATGGATTGGGGGTGGACTCTGCCACCTGTTAGACGTCCGACTTCTCCACGGTGCTCCATTATTCAGCAATATTTGCTCTCCAAAAAGCAGCCATTATTAGGGGTTTGTAAAGGCCAACTGGATCCCGTTCTCAGGGCAAACATCTCTAGGCAGTGTCTGTCTGGAAGAGAATCATGGTTTTATATTTACCTACAGGGAAGAATAAGAGCTTGGACCCACTTCCAACCATCTGCTCAGCTGGCACTGTGTCATCCAGATCTACTTGGCAAAACTGAGAGTGCCCGGCTGCCAATTGTACCCATTAAGTGCCCTTTGCTGCACTTGGTGGCTTAAAGCGGCTGCTGATGTAATTAAGTTGCGAAGGGAATTGAATCAGGCACAGCGATGCCCCAAGCTGAGTCACAGGAATGCAATATGACACACCTGCAACGAAAACCTAAAGAGAAGCTGACACTGAGGATTAAATTCTCAAATTCTTTCCCAATTTCTATGTTACTGGGTCTTACAAGGGGTGACATCATACCGATGGTCATGCTTGTAACCAGAAAGCTTGAAGCCAGATGGAATTTCATTGCATTTGATTTTATTACAAGCTTCTAAAACTGCTTCAAAATCTTGGTAACTTGAAGATGTTTGGACTTCAACTCCCAGAATTCCCCAGCAAACATGGGAGTTGAAGTCCATCCATCTTATAAGAAAAACGGTCATTTTTTCCAGTGTCGTTATAACTTCAAGTGGTCACTAAATGAATCGTTGTAAGTCAAGGAGTATCTGTATCTTTACATATAACTTTTCAACCAGCAGGAAGATAGGAACAGAATCCTGAATGGCTTAAAATTCAGGAAATATCCCAGAAACTCTTCCCCCGTCAGATTCACACTATATTCTTAACCTTCAACCCAGATGAATAAGCAATATTTCTTATCCAAAGCTCTGCCAAAATAAATTCACTCTCAAATGTGCTCCATTCGCACAACATGTTAAGATAATGGTTGGATTCCCACAACTGGCTGAACCACCAGTTCTAGCGTCATGCATATTCGACGGACAAACCCAGTTTGGGATCTTCTCCAGTCTCTGAAGCAAATGAGAAACATTCAAGATTGAATTTTGCAGAACCCAAAGGCACCAACAGGTAGTTCAGGAAATATATAGATCTATCTAGGGAACAGCCCAGTCTTCTGCTTAGCGTTTTCCAGTCTGGTCCACACTGCAAACATTGGACCCAGATTTTTGCCTTGCACTTAAGGGCCTCTCCACCCACAAGAAGATTTGCGGAGTGTTGTGGGTGCTAATTAAGTGTTGTGTTGCAAAGTGCAACAAAAGACAAGGAAGGCTAGTCATGGCCCATTGGATCATTCATAGAACATAGAATAACAGAATTGGAAGGACCTTGGAGATTTTCTAGACCAAACACCTGTTCGAGCAGGAGACCCTATACCAGGGGTAGGCAACCTTGGCTCTTTTATGACTCATGGACTTCAAGTCCCAGAATTCCTGAGCCAGCATGGCTCAGCTCGGAAACCTCTCCCTTTCCCCTCAGCATGGCTGGCTCAGGAATTCTGGGAGTTGACGTCCACGAGTCATAAAAGAGCCAAGGTTGCCTACCCCTGCCCTATACCATGGTGGCGAACCTATGGCACACCTGCCAGAGGCAGCACTCAGAGCCCTCTCTGTTGGCATGCACACCACCACCGCCAGCAGCAGGTCCATCAGGCCGCCACCGCTGCCCGGAGCAGGAGCCCCGCCCACCATAAAGGAGACAAAGTGGCCGACTAGCAAGCTCGAGTAGAGGTGGTAGAGCAGAGGTCACCAACCATTGTTGATTGGTAGACTGGAAGAAAAGGGAGGGGGAAGCATTTTACATGCGTGCCTGTGCGCACGGGGCCGCGAGCACGCACACGCTGCAAATGGGGCGGGGCTAGTGCCTGCGTGATACTCACTAGCCCTGCCCCATTCTTGCGTGGTGCAGCGCCTTGTATCTGCACTCTGCGGTGCCGCCGCGGCCATTTTTGCACCTTGCAGCACGGTGGCCCATTTTTGCGCCCCCGGGTTTTGCGTGCCAGAGGCGGCACTCAGAGGCACCTCCCTGGACCCCCCCCCCCGAGGGCACCACAATGCTGATGCGGCTCTGGCACTTTGTGATAAATAAGTGGGTTTTGGGTTGCGGTTTGGGCACTCGGTCTCTAAAAGGTTTGCCATCACTGCCCTATAACCATTTCTGACAAGTGACCGTCCAGTCTTTTCTTGAAAGCCTCCAGTGATGAAGTTCCCACAACTTCTGAAGGCAATTTTTTTCCATTGGTTGATTAGTCTCCCCTTTAGGAAATTTCTCCTTAATTCGAGGTTCAAAGTCCTTATTTTGCCTTTTGGTTAAATCTATATCCTTTCCTTCCCAGCAGGGCTGATTGTGCAATAATTTGTCAACCAGCTTGATCTGCTCCGCTATCCCTTATAGGCAGGTGACCGTGTGTCGTGGAAACAACTTCTCCCCAATCATTGAAGGGCAGTTTAAGAGAAGGCTTCAAAGTTCTCGTAGCTGGTGAAATTCCGGAGGAGTTCTTTGATATTCTGGAAGTCCGGCCTTTGATTGGGATCCAGGTTCCAGCATTTGCACATGGTGGAGTACATGACAGGGGGGCACCTGGCCGGGCGGTGCATCTGGAAACCATTTTGAACCTGGGTGGAGACCTCGCAGTTACTCATGCCTGTGGAAAGAACGGAAAATGCAGCATTATTTATGTATTTCGCGTATGGCACAAAACACATGGATTGCAGTACAAGCATCTCTCGACTTATGACTACAACTGAGCCCAAAATTTCTGTTGTTGAGATATTTATTAAATGAGCTTTGCCCCATTTTACGATCTTTCTTCCCACAGTTGTTAAGTGCAGCAATCACTGCAGCTGTTAAGTTAGGAACACGGTTGTTAAGTGAATCTGGCTTCCCCATTGACTTTGCTTGTCAGAAGGTCACTAAAGGTGATCACATGACCCCAGGACACTGCAACCGTCACAAATTCATGCCAGTTGGCAAGCATCCAAATTTTGATCATTTTGACCACGGGGATGCTGCAATGGCTATAAATATGAAAGACGGGCATAAGTCACTTTTTCAGTGCCATTGTAACTTCGAATGGTCATTAAATGATTGTTATAAGTCGAGGAGTATCTGTAGTAAAGATGTATTGAAGGAACACATACTAATACAGTATATCTATGGATATTCTCAATCATCCAGGCCAGGGTTGTCTCAAAGGTGCTTTTCCAAAAGGCAACTGGATTTTTGTTTTTTTTCCCCTTGAAAACATCTCATCCAAGAAGCTTCTTTATTTCTGACTGAATGGTGGGGAATAGAAGGATTTATACTTTTTGGATCCGCTCTGGGGGTCAGTCGTTAGATCTCTAGAGTTGCGAGGAACCATAATAAATAATACGTCAAAGAACTGTGTAGCAGCTGTCCAGATGAAGTCAGAGACAATAACACAAACTTGTAGTCTTTTATATGCAGTATAAATATATTTAACATTCAAACTTTAGCAGTCTTTGTCATCATCCAGAAAGAAAAACGCAAGATAGTCAGGAACGCAGAAACATCATGAGGTAAATTAAACAGCACACAGTGCACACAGAAAAAAAAAGGCGGGGAAAAAAGGAAACTCCCCCTTTATACCCACAGCAACCAATCATAACGTAAATTACATCACGCCTGAGTCAGCACTCTCTAACTTAGGGGTGGGGAACTATGGCCCTTTTGATGACTTGTGGACTTCAGCTCCCAGAAGTCCAATGGCTGGCTCAGGAATTCTGGGAGTTGAAGTCCACAAGTCATAAAAGGGCCACCCCTGCTCTAACTACTACAACTGTGTGTTGAATGTCTATGGGGACTCTCAGTCATCCAAGTATGGTTGTCCCAAATATGCTTTTTTTCCTTTCAGGAGGCAACTGGACTTTCTTTTTTCTTTCCTTTGAAGACATTTCGCTTCTCATCCAAGAAGCTTCTTCAGCTCTGACTGGATGGTGCAGAGTGGAAGGAAAAAAAAACCAAACAAAAACAAGGAAGTTCAGTTGTCTGCTGAGAAAAAAAAAGCATTTTTGGTACAATTGTGTGTTCTGGCCTATAGTACACCTTACCTTTCCAGCTACTAAATTCAATATCCTAACACAGGGGTAGACTGGCTCAGGAATTCTGGGAGTTGAAGTCCACGAGTCATAAAAGAGCCAAGGTTGCCTACCCCTGTCCTAACATAATAACTCTCAGAAAGGGATCCAGAAAGGAAAAGGCTGGTCCTATGCATCCCCAACCAAACTCAGTAGCCTTGTTCCCATACCTGGATACGGGTTCTGCCCCCGAGTCATGACTTCATAAAGGAGGATGCCGAAGGACCACACGTCAGATTTGATGGAGTAACATCCGCAGGAAAGGGCTTCCGGTGCGGTCCATTTGTAAGGCACACTGTGTGAGTAAGAGAGATAAATATCTTCCTGCAAGACAAAAGCACAGGGTGATCCACTTTGTACGGAGTCTTTGGAAAACTTGACATTTCTTGATCCCAAAAAGGGGTCTGTACAGACAATGTCCAGTCAGGAGAGCGAGTGTGGGGTCATGATCCACACCCTGCCCCTTCTGTACGTTATAGGTAGTCCTTGACTTGCAACAGTTCATTTAGTGAACTTAGGACCATTTTTCACACTTACAACGGTTGCAACATCCCCAGGGTCACGGGATCAAAATTTGGGTGCTCGGCAACTGGTTCATATCTATGACGGTTGCAGTGTCCCAGGTTCATGTGACCCCCCTTTTGTGACCTTCTGACAAGCAAAATCAATGGGGAAGCCAGACTCACTTAACAACCATGTTACTAACTTAACAATTGCAATGATTCACTTAACAACTGGAGCAAAAAAGGTCATAAAATGGGGCAGAATTCACTTAAAAATGTTTTGCTTAGCAACAGAAATGTTGGGCTCAATTGTGCTTGTACGTCGAGGATTACCTGTAATGTCAGAGCTATATTATATTCCTTTTTATTTTTCATATTATTCTTAGTTTGCATTAGTTTTTTACCATTATACTTTTAAACATCATTAAGTTATAAAAAAAAGCTGACCAATCTCCATCCCTAACTTTTCAGCAATAATAAGTATATATTGACAGATCCAAATCTTTCTATATAAAAATCTATAGAGCAATCCTAAATAAGTATATACCGCATAGAGAGATCTGAATCTATCTCTCTGTCTGTCTATCTATCATCTATTATTTATCTATAATCTATCTACCATTTCTCTCTCTCTCTCTCTCTCTCTCTCTCTCTCTCTCTCTCTCTCTCTCTCTCTCTCTCTCTCTCTCTCTCTCTCTCTCTCTCACACACACACACACACACACACACACACATCTATCCTTATTCTATTTTATTTTAACCTACTTCTATCTATTTCTTTTTTAGTGTCATGCCTTAGTTTTAGATCAATAATATCCTTGGCTTTTTTTGGTCCTAGAGACCTAGCTTACAATGGCGACAAGAGTGACAATATTATTGCACATGATTGTTTAGCTTGTGCTTTACGCTGGCCTTCCTCCTTTACTTTTAAACAGCTTGTTAATTATTTTGTTCTCGACTTATGACCTTAAAGGAGCTTATCCATTACCATTGTAAGTCATCATGACTGTAAAGCGGGTCAACACACGACTGACCCAAGATTACAACCTTTTTTGTGAGGTTGTTAAGCAAATCACCCTGGTCATTAAGTGAATCTATAGTCATTAAGTGTATCCATTATTTCCTCTGGTTTGCTCTGGTCAGTTTTTGTCAAAAACCAGAAGTAAAGGACAATTTTCAGCAAAAACATTGTAAATTGTGGTCATGTGACCACAGAGGGCTGCACATAGTCGTAAATGGGGGCCAGTTTCTGAGCACTGACCACTGGAGTGTGGGGCATTGAAATTTCAGAACCGAGTCATAAGTATCTTTTGGGGGGGGGGAGGTTCACTGTAACTCTGACCAATCATTAGGTGATTGTTCGTAAATAGAAGATTACCTGTCCGGTAATCCTCGATTACCGATCTTAAACTGAAATAAAGTTTGACTGGACATATTCATCCTGCAATTTGGCCTTTCCGGATTAAATCCTATTTTTCTACCTGCGTTTGAGTCCCAGAAGGATTGAAAAGTACCTCGATCAGCCTGGCCATGCCGAAATCTCCCACTTTGCAGATGTTGCTTTCTCCCACCAGCACGTTCCTGGCAGCCAAATCCCGATGGATGAAATTCTGCGATTCCAGGTAGCTCATCCCTTCGGCTACCTGGGCGGCCAAGCTGACTAGCTCTGCCATCTCCATCTGTTGCCCCTCTGGACCTGGGCAGAAACGGACAGGGACAGCCTCATGAGAACATCCTGGACCAGTGATGGCGAACCTTTTAGAGACCGAGTGCCCAAACTGCAACCCAAAACCCCCTTATGCATCGTCGGGTGCCGGGTGGGTGTGGCCCATTGGGTGGGCGTGGCTGCGGTGGTAACAGCAGACTGGGTGGGACTAAAAAGTTCAATCAATCCCAACTTTGCAAGATCTTTTTTTTTCCCGGGAGAAGTTGAAATTGACTGATTGATTGAACCTTTTTTTTTTTGTGCACGGTGGCAGAGGCCTAAAGCGAAAAGGTTTTATAAAACCCAGCTGAAGGCCTAGGACTGGGGCGACGGCACACATGCCCACAGAGAGGGCTCTGAGTGCCGCCTCTGGCACCCGTGCCATAGGTTTGCCACCACTGTCCTGGACCGTGAGTTTTTCCCCAAAAAAGTTTCACTGCTTTTTTGGATGGAGATAGCAAGCGATGTCATCTTGCACAGAGATCAGAAAAAGATAACCCGATACCCACGGGCACCAAAAGGTGGTTCCCTCTACAGGGTCCACCCAATAGTGGGCCAGATATTTCTAGCCTGAAATTCAAATTCAGCTGTTCTGATGCTGGACACTTCCTGTCTGAATACAAAGCATTGGGCATTAGAAATAACTCAAGGTGGCGAACATATCCAACGCACCTCCCTCCACCTATTCTCCCCACAACAACGACCCTGTGAGGTGGGTTGGGCAGAGAGAGTCCCTGGCCCGAAATCACCCAGCTGTCTTTCATAACTAAGGCGGGACTAGAACTCACGGTCTCCTGGTGATTGGCCCAAAGTCACCCAACTGTCTTTCATGCCTAAGGCGGGACTAGAACTCACCCTCTCCTGGTGATTGGCCCAAAGTCACCCAGCTGTCTTTCATGCCTGAGGCGGGACTAGAACTCACCCTCTCCTGGTGATTGGCTCAAAGTCACCCAGCTAGCTTTTATGCCTCAGGCAGGACTAGAATTCACCCTCTCCTGGTGATTGGCCCAAAGTCACCCAGCTGTCTTTCATGCCTAAGGCGGGACTAGAACTCACTGTCGCCTGGTGATTGGCCCAAAGGTACCCAGCTGTCTTTCATGCCTAAGGCGGGACTAGAACTCACCCTCTCCTGGTGATTGGCCCAAAGTCACCCAGCTGGTTTTCATAGCTGAGGCGGGGCTTGAACTGACAGCCTCTTGCTTTCTATGCCTTAACCACTACTAGACTGAACCTCAGGACTAATGTAACTTTTTAAGTATTATTTTAATTAAAAAAGGAGGACTATATGCACATATAGTCTGTGTGGTTGTTTTAGGAAAGTCAAGATGACTTCATGCCACACAACTGAAGTCTGGTGCCTTTTTTCAGGTAGTCCTCGACTTACATCCATTCGTTGAGCAATGGTTTGGAGTTATGACAGTGATGACAACAAGTGGATTACAACTGGTCCTCACACTTACGTCCCTGCTGTCACGGGCTTGCCACTTGGGGACTTGGCAACCAGCTTGCATTTATGATGGTCACAGCAGTTTCTACTCACATGATCACGATAAGTGACCTTCCCAGATGGCTTCTGACAAGCAAAGTCAAGGCTGGATTCCTTTCACAACCACAAAATTTGCTTAATGACTGTGTTGATTTGCTTAAAGACCGCGGTAAGAATGGCTGTGAAATCAGGCCTGGTTACTTGATGGCTCGCTTAACGACCAGATTGCTTCCAGAATTCCCCAGCCAGCATGTCTAGGTTCTCCTGCTTGAGCAGGGGGCTGGATTAGAAGACCTCCAAAGTCCCTTCCAGCTTCTCTTCTCTTCTCTTCTATTTCTATTTCTATTTCTTCTATTTCTATTTATTTCTATTTCTATTTCTATTTCTATTTCTATTTCTTCTATTTCTTCTATTTCTATTTCTATTATTTCTATTTCTATTTATTTCTATTTCTATTTCTATTTCTATTTCTATTTCTATTTCTATTTCTATTTCTATTATTTCTATTTCTATTTCTATTTCTATTTCTATTTCTATTTCTATTTCTATTTCTATTTCTATTCTAGCCTAGCCCAGCCTAGCCTAGCCTAGCCTTGCTACAGATCTGCTATGGCTTTGTTAAGGATACCTCTGGACAAAGGGGGTCAGACCAGGAAAAAGGCGATGCTCGTCTTACCTCTGAGGAAGGTGAGCAGGTTCCCTTTGCTCATGATTTCGGTGATGATGTAGACTGGATCCCCGCCAGAGCAGATGGCGTAGAGGGAGAGAATGTTTTTGTGTTTCAACAGCCTCAGGGCCTCAATCTCGTTTTTGAAGGTGTCCTGGCACGTCAGATCGGCTGGGAGGGAAGCAAAAGCTACAGTAAACTGCTCCATTCTGGTCACTTTCTGGGCATACAGGTAATCCTCAACTTACGACCACAACTGAGGTCTGTTGTAACTTCAAACGGTTGCTAAGTGAGCGGTTGTAAGTCGAGGACTACCTGTCTAAAAAAGGGGGTGGGGCTTCATTTGCATGAAAAGCCCCAGCAGAGGGATCTCGTCATGTGACGCTTTCGTTTCTGTCGCTCAGCTTTACCTCTGTGTAACACCTTCACCGCAACTTTCACTTTCTCTTTCCAAAGTCCCTCGTAGACTTCTCCAAAGTAACCGGCGTCCAACTTCCGGATCAGTCGGAATTCGTCTTTGGGTCTCTCCCAATCGTCCCAGTGGGGCATGGTCTTTGGCTGGGGCTTGGGTCAAAATAAAGTCAAAATGGGGTTAACTTTCTCCAAGATTTATTGCGTGGACCATTTGCAACTTTTGTCCTCCCGATCACAGGAAGTCCTCGACTTACGACCGTTCATTTAGTGACCGTTCGAAGGTACGACGGCACTGAAAAAAAATGACTTAGGACCGTTTTTCACATGAATGACCGTTGCAGCATCGTCATAGTCAAAGGATCAAAATTCAGATATTGGAAACTGGCTCGTATTTATGACGGTCGCAGCGTGCTGGGGTCACGTGATCCCCTTTTGCGACCTTCTGACCAGCAAAGTCAATAGGGAAGCTAGATTCGCTTTACGACAGTGTTACTAACTTAACAACTGCAGTGATTCACTTAACAACAGTGGCAAGACAGGTTGTAAAGTCGGGCAAAACTCACTTAACATGAGTCTCTCTTAGCAACAGAAATTTTGGGCTCAGTCGTGGTCGTTAAGTCCGGGACTACGTGAATCTCTTGCCCTGCTTGTTTTGCAAAACAGCAAAAACAGCTGCAAACCTTCGTTTTCTGCATGTAGTTTTAGGAGTAGAGTAGAATAACAGAGTTGGAAGAGACCTTGGAGGTCATCTAGTCCAACCCCCTGCTCAAGTAGGAGACCCTACACCATTTCTGAGAAGTGGCTGTCCAGTCTCTTCTTGAAAGCCTCCAGTGATAAAGTTCCCACAACTTCTGGAGGGAGGTTGTTCCACTGGTTAATTGTTCTCACTGTCAGGAAGTTTCTCCTTAGTTCTAGGTTGCTTCTCTCTTTGATTAGTTTCCATCTGTTACTTCTTGTCCTGCCTTCAGGCGCTTTGGAGAATAGCTTGACTCCCTCTTCTTTGGGGCAGCCCCTGAGATATTGGAACACTGCTATCATGTCCCCCCTCGTCCTTCTCTTCATTAAACTAGACATACCCAATTCCAGCAGCCTTTCCTTATATTTATTTATTTATTTATTATTCCAATTTGTATCCCGCCCTTCTCCCGAAGGACTCAGGGCGGCTCACAACATTATTAAAAACAAAGAGAGACCCACACACCCCACCGAATAAAACCAAATTAAAACCAATATTTTAGTGTTGTGATAATTAAAATTTCTAAAAAACCCGATTTAAAATCCTCCCTAGGCCAGGCCCGCTTGCTGGAAAAGCCATGTCTTGAGGGCGCGGCGGAAAGTAAGGAGATCCGGAATAATCCGGATCTCGGGGGGTAGTTCGTTCCAGAGGGCAGGGGCACCCACAGAGAAGGCCCTCCCCCTGGGGGTCGCCAGCCGACATTGCTTGGCCGACGGCACCCTGAGGAGACCCACTCTGTGGGAGCGTACCGGTCTATGGGAGGGAA